GGGAGACGAGGAAGGAAAGCTGTTAGAATGGAGCTAGATAAATTGTGTTTCCCGAGACAAGACGACCAAGCGGCGATTAGACGAACGGGGTCGAAGGAAGACAAATTCGCTCGGAACTTGAGCGAGCAGGTGATGAGGACTGGCCTCTCTCTCTCTCTCCCTAAGGAAGACAAATTCGCTCGGAACTTGAGCGAGCAGGTGATGAGGACTGGCGGGAAAATTGATTTGGAATTGGCGTCCATTTGGAGCGCGCGGTCGGGCGGGGAAGTGGTGGGAGCGGCGAGCACCTGGTGGCGGGGAGGGGAGGGGGGCAGTTACAGCCTCGGTTACGACGGAGCTGCTTTGGACGATGTATACATCTGTGCATCTACCGTGCATTTTTCACACTTTACTTTTTGCGGAAATTTTCAACCAATTTCTTCTTTGTTTCCCTTGCAGTTATATGAAATCAACGACGACCCCAAAAGGAAGGAATTCCTGGACGACCTCTTCAGCTTTATGCAGAAACGAGGTGAGTGACGACTTCTTTTCCCAATCCTTACGATCATTCTTTGTTTCTGTAGGATTAAAAATTTATGTTTGTCGCCGATTAATCGCCGTATGAGCCTTTCGGGCGGGCATGGAGGCAGAGAAGGGTGATGTTGGGACCTCTTTGAGCCGCGTGATGGACCGACGCCTCATGCACCGCGATCGAGCCTGTCGGGCTGGGTTTAATTGAAAAACAGTTTGACGGGTGAAAAATAAGGTCATTAAATCATGTGGGTGGGGCTGCGTTGCGGCGGCGGCCGCCGTGGGGCGGGACGGGCGTATCAGTTGTGTTGCTCTGATAATACGCCGTGGTGGATAGAAAAGGAGAGAGAGGTGATTTTTTAACTGGTTAATCACCGTCATGAGGAGGAGGTAAGCGAGTACTTATGCGGGTCGGCTCGGGTCATTCGCAAGTGGTGCTGGTGCTTTGCTACCCCCCCCGACACGCCTCGCGCGCGTGGTCCCCTTTTGCACTTTTTGATTGGGTGTATCGTTCCGGTCTTTCAGGTACGTCGTTGTGGTTTTGTCGCCGCGAAAATACTCTTTGACAATTTTTATGTCCATAATTTTTGTTTTTACGGTTGTGTGCCGGTTTGGTGGGCCCTGCTCTGCCAACTCCTCCCCGCCCTTTCCCCCTTTACCTTCCCGGGCGGCGGCGTGGTCCAAAGAGGTTCACACACACATACACACACACACACACACACACACACACACTTGCCTCAATGTTGCAGCGAAGCGAGATTCTCGGAAGTATTTGATCGTTTATGTATAAACATGGAAAGATAATGGTCCGCTTGTGATGGCAATCCGCTGCAGTCTTGCGTATGTCCGGACGGCTTCGTTACGCTGCTTCAGCGTTGTCTCATGCCGGTGTGTGCGCGTTAGACGCCTTTAATATCGCGCGATCACTCATCATGCGTGCATGCACTGCTGCGGTAGGGTCGTTTACCGAGTTTGAGTTGCCGTGACCTCTACCACACCTCTCTCTCCCTCTCTCCCTCTCTGCCTCTCTCCCCCTCCCTCTCGTATAGGCCCCGCCCACTCTACGCTATTTGACTGCGGCCGTCAGACTTCGTATTATAACGGTTGATGAATCACTCCTTCGAATCGGCAGAGCCGCGGCGAACGCTTTACGAGATTCCGAACTGCCCCTCTCCCCCTCTCCCCTCCTCCCCTCTCTCTCCGGCGGTCACTCGTGCATTTTTATGCGGGTGCGCGTGTGTGCGCGCGCGAGGTGTAAATGTCCCTGGTGTGCGGGCCTTGTTCGTGTAATTGTGCCCCGAGTGGATCTGACCTTTTCACCGTCATCATGGGGCTGCCAATTTTTATGGGGTGGTGCGCGTATAGTTTGCGATTGGTTGCGCGTTTTGTAGACCCGTGTTGCTTTTTGACAGTTTGTTTGGGAAAATGTAATAGAAACAAACGGAAAGCCATTGTAGTGTTCAACGACTGGCAAGCACTTGTGAGTGTTGCGATGATCACTCGCTTGCTAATTAGTTCAACACTTTCTCATTGTTTCCCTTACGTTCTGCACTCTAAACTTTTTACTAGAAAATTTTCAAGAAAACATATAGTTTTACCAACATTTTTACTGATATTAGTTAACGTTTTCCTATTCTAATAAGTACGGTACTAGGAATACGTTTACATAAGAGGAACATTTTAGTAACACTAAAGAATTTCTTGGTAATATACAACAGCACAAAAACAACTCAATAGTTAAAAGCTAAAATTTTTCTGTAAAATGTTAAGACGAGTGTTAAGAGCGCGTTCCGAATATTTGGTTGGTGTATCGGTCTGCGGGAAGGCCCAACTCGAGTTACGTGCCCGGTCACACACGCACGCCGGGGTGCAATTAGGTATTATCGCTCCGAGGGGAGAAGTCGGGAGGGGGGAGGGAAATCAGTCAGCCCGGGCCGATAATGAGTGCAAGCAGGCGCCGGGGCGCCGGGTTCGAGATTTCGGTGGGTCTCTTTTTGTTGTTGCTGCTGCTGCTGTTGTTGAGGCTCGGTTAGAGGGAGAAGGAAGCAGGCGTTGCGCCCTAAATGGGAGAGACAAGCCGGGCGCTGCTCAAAGTGGGAAAGAGGAAAGGGTCTGGAAGGGGAGCTGGAATGTAAAACTTGCTTTGCAATATGTCCATCGCGGGAGAGCAGAGAGCAGTATTGACATTTATGAATCGCGTGCAACACCCGACCGGACCCGGACCCACCAACAGGGAGGCGGGAGGGAGGTGCTGTGTGGCACCGACAGGCCGGCTGTGGTATGTCGAGTGTAGTATGGACGCCCGTAAATTTCCAAATATTTGACGTAATTTGTCGAACGGTGTTGTAAGTTTCGTTCCGGGGGGACGGTGTATAATCATACGGGCAACTTGTTTTTGTTTTTATTAAATAAAATTACACAGCGGTTCGTGCACCTGTACACATACATGTAGCAGCAACAATGTCAGCAGTCGCTTGCACTGCCCGGGGCCACGGTGGTGGGGG